ATTCCATTGTTGAATGTCAGCTTACGTGTTGTCAAAGTGACATTGGAAGAGTGGAGTAGATTTCGAAGGGATATGGATGCATGATGGTTCATGGCTTGCGTAATTCCATGGACAAGCAAGGAATTGCTAAGGTCAGAAATTTCTTCAACCGGAAGATTTCTCGTATTCTAGTCACCGAGCGGCTATCGCGTCGATCAAGGTTTAGATGCCAAATGAAAGTGAAGAAAATCTTGTTTTATTATTATTTCCGTCTGGCATGGTCATTTGGGAAAGAGTATGAAAACAATGTCAAGAAACACACATAATTGGGCTGTTGACTCACCATCCATCAAACAGAACTCGAACAGCTACGCAATTTTTCAGGAATCCCCTTACATATTCAAATTATCTACACCAACAAAGCAGGTCTGCACGGTTTTAGTTGGGCTTCTTAACTCAACATACTTGAAAGCATATCGTACTTAATTTATTTAATGGAGGAGGAGTAAAACTCTTGTAAATAAACCGCGAATCACAAGTTCATTCATTACTTGTTTGAGTATCATGTGACGACGTTAATATTAACCAATTGTTGCTTCGTAACCGCCACTAAATCCAAACTACTTTCGTCAACCTCCCCTGACTTTGGCCTAGTACTTTACTAAGCGGTTCCGTAGATAACATAATTCTTATTGTTGATTTAATTTGCAACTCGAGCCCGAGTATACAAGTAGCCAATCAGCCTTGGGTTTTGGCTGCGAACAGTTATATACCAACAGAGGGCAATGTGTCGATGACAATTGTTAACGTCAATTGTTTAACGTTTTATGACTATTGCCATTGTGTATTTTCCGAATGAAAATCTGCAAAAAGCTTGATTAATCATTTACTAGTAACATAATTTCGTCACATTCTCGTTATGCACAATAACTGTCATTGTTATTATTATTACCACATGATAGCTGCGGTAATCGGAATACACATTCCATCCGCATTAAGATTAATGGATGTGCATTGAACGATTCCCATTTCCGTTACGTTCATATCGTAGATTAAAATCTCCCTGAAAAAGTAATGGGTCAATAGCCGGGTATCGTAAAACCAAATATGTCTTCCAGACAATGTCCATCAGATTTCATTTCTATAGACCCCAAGAACTCTTTTTTCTCATCAATCTTCCTTCTCAATATTTACAATCGCACCAAAGTATTAATACGAAGAAATTTGTCAACAATATATATGGAACAGAACGTATACATATTAAGTCAACCCGTTGTAAAGTTTTCCATGATTTAGAAATACTAACACTACGTTTTAATTAAGGTTTTGTCCAACAAACCGTCAAGCGAGTTTTCTTTTACAATGGGGTTTTTAAATTTATATTGGACTAAGCATTACAAGCTGGGTAAAGTCTTTGGTTTCGGTTGTTGCCGATAAAAACATGTTTTCTTACAGCGTCAACACTGCGGGCGGTAAACACGTCATTTATGGTGAAGAATAAGACCTCACATTGACATGTATTATCGTGTTCTAACCAACGACTTTGATAGATTGTCATTCTTTGTTTGCGCAAATAGTTTACTGTATTAACGGTACATCAATAACAAACGTAACGGTGAGTCCAAGCTTTCAAGTTCACAAGCTAATAAAGATTGCAACGATATTTTTGATAACCACCTTGTAATTAGAAAGTGAATCGCTGTATAATGATAATCCGGTCTATTAAGCAGGCCCGAGAAGCAATTGCTGAACTTCCTGAATCGCTGTATAATGATAATCCGTTCTATTAAGCAGGCCCGGAAAGCAATTGCTGAACTTCCTGAAAAGACTTTTTTTGTTAATAATTAACATTTTTTTCAATTAATAGTTCAGAAGTTGTTGCTGCTTACAATCATATTATTTATTCATAATTCATACAAGCTTATACAACATCGGTCTCTTAATATTTTAAATTAAATTTATTGTAGAAAGGACTGCTCATGATAAATGTAAGTTATGATTAAAATAAAAACAACAATACATGTTTGAGGACAAAAAGGTTCAGATTTATACTAATCTTTCTATGTAGTCCCACTTATAAAACAGATTTGTGAGCTAAGAAACGTATGACGAGGGTTAACACACAAATCGACTTGATAATATCGTCGTATATACGCTGCTCTTCTAATTACTCGCCCCAAACAGTTTTAAAATATCTCTACCACACCCCGGTATCGTATGGGAGAACAGTTTCTTACCAAAAATATATATATTAAGCGTCAATTCTGTCAACAGTTTGGTAAATAATGTCTCGCTACGCATTAAGCAGAATAAGATTCAAATCCATAATTCGTATACGTCTGCTCATTTATGTTATCGTTATTAAAGTCATTGTAGAATTGACGTTGAGGGAAAAAAGAAGAACGTTGAATAGAATTTGGAGAAAGCACGGGAAAGTTGTAACAGTCGGGAAACAAACTCGGAAAGTCAATAAAAGTAGTCGGCAAGATATACTGCTGTTTATCGCTATTTTCTGGAGAAAGCATGGAAAAGTCGTAAAAGTCGGATGACCAATTCGGAAAGTCAACGTCAATGAAAGTACTCGGTAAGATATACTGCTGTTTATCGCTATTTTCTGGAGAAAGCATGGAAAAGTCGTAAAAGTCGGATGACCAATTCGGAAAGTCAACGTCAATGAAAGTACTCGGTAAGATATACTGCTGTTTATCGCTATTTTCTGGAGAAAGCATGGAAAAGTCGTAAAAGTCGGATGACCAATTCGGAAA